ATCCGATTCAAAGAAGCTGACTTGGCGGAACTTTTGGTTCGGGATGATGAGCAATTATCCTGGAGGTATTGAACTTGCTGCGAACAAATCAGCACCGCTACGAAGACTACGATGTACACAGTATGCCTCCGGCCCAGAATTGCTTACACCGGTCAGGTACGCGTACTGCTCTCCGGCATGGCCGGCCGTCTCCGAGCTCCAGGGCAACGAGACGCGGTGCGCGGCAAACCAAAGGGCCATGCACGCACTTAAAAGTCGCTTGTGTCTCGCTGCGACCTTTCCCCGATCGCTCAGTCCAGTACGTACCTTACAGCTGGCAACGACTACTGCATGCCACGACAGCGACCTGTGGAGGTTCTCTGCACGCAACAGCGAATGCTACTCGCCTGAGGACATGACCTGCAGTTCCCGTTAGCTGCAGTAGCCGCCGAAGTACCGTGCATGAAGACGTCTTTTACTCGTCACGACCAAAGATCCTGCTCCATCTGCTACCCCATGAGTCCGACGGCCCTTGCAGCGACTGTTGTACCTATCGAGAGCTCTGATAATCGGTTACTTGCGGTCCGGGGCGACACCTGGGTGCTGGCAACATCTGCAAATCATCGCAGGACTTGTGGCACGCAATCGCGAATCCTCGGCCACGTGTCCAACGTCTGCGAAGTCCTTTTTCTCCCTCCAGTGAGCCTCGGACGGTGAAGGAGGCTGTCCATCTGCGATTTATTCACATTCGATGCGTTCGCACTTCATCAACGGCCTTTGCCTAGCAAAATACCACCTGCACAGCCATGCGGATTCCCTGTTCTGATGCAGCAAGTGGACATACCAGAAACAGAAGTCATGACGCAAATCAATAAACACTTCTGAACCTTCTGTCGAAAAGTCTAGCACGTAATCGAGTCGGGACTGATGCATCGATTCTGCAGGGTTTAACTCCAGGTACAGTATAGTTCCTCTCAATTGAAATCTGTTTCCGATCTCTCTGCATCTCGTGTCTAGTCTCGTCAAATACCCAAACAGAAGTCGATGACATGGCAGCCATCCGCGCCCTGTACGCATCTGCGAGTCGAGCTCCCCTGCGAGCCACACCTCGAACCGTCCAGATTCACCCGATCCGGACCTCTCTTAGGCACCTCAACACCGACACAGCCCCGGTCCTTTACTCCGCCCATGCCAAAGTTGTTGGCGCTCGCACCGGCCACGTCGAAGGCGACGATCTGAATGTCGACCTCACCATGGCCAAAGCTCTAGGCGGGTCGGGGGACAAGGGCAAAACAAACCCAGAAGAGCTATTTGCTGCTGGATATGGCGCCTGCTTTCAGTCTGCCATGAACGCCTCGGCAATAAGCCTCAAGGTTCAGATGCCAGAGAAGAAGGAGGACAGTATTGTGGAAACAACAGTACATCTCGTGGGAGATATGAAGAAGCTAGACATGGGGATCAGGGTGGATATGAAGGTTAGCGTAAAAGGGTAGGTCCTCTCGCGACGGCGTAGGGCAAGCAAGCAACGAGCTAACCAACGTTTGTTTCTGCAGGCTGAACAAGACGGATCTGGAAAAGGTGATTGAAAAGGCCAAAGAAGTGTGTCCTTATTCACGAGCCACCCGAGGGAACGTCACCACGAATATCGAGGTGGTCCAGTTGTAGCCCGAGGTAAAAATGGAAATACCTGTCGACCCTTTCTTCTACTCTGTAGCACTCGCGACTGGTCCCATACTTCTTGCATCTGTCCAAGCTCTGCAGGAGCACATTCTGGTCTTCTCTGGCCGCCCAGAGCCCGAGTTTCGCCCCTATCCTCAGTACATGTAGACGCCAGGAGCCCATTCCCCTTCACCTTTCTCCTCCTTCTCAATGCTATCGATGATTCTCTTCTTGATCATGTCCGGCGGCGGAGGTCCCGAGCCAGCCGTCTTGCTGACATCGGCGCAGAACAACGGCAGCGGCTTGACCGCATCTGCGGCTTCCTTGATCGCTTGGACGTCATCCTTTGGGTAGCCTCCTCCGATGATGATGAGAGAAACGTCGCTCCGAGCACTCCCCTCGGCATTGGCTCCCAACCCTGACGACGGCGCTGTTGTTTCTCCTCTAAGCAAGGCCGGAATTTCCGACACCGCCGTGTCTCGAGAGGTGCACACGTGGACGACTGGCCGCCACCTCCAGTCAATTCGGAACCTGCCTTTGCGCGCGAGGGGACAGGAATGACAAACCTTCAATTTTGGGGGCCAGGATCTTGATCATGGCTTGTGCCATTTTTGGCTCGCGGCCGCAGAGGATGGCAGCGATGGGGGCCATCTTTGACGGTTTTGGTCACGGATGCTGAAGGGACAAGAAGGTTGGGATTCGCGCGCTCTGGATCGTGGCCGTGCCTGGGGAGTCAGAAGAATAGCAACAGGAACAGGAAAAAAGAGAAACTTCTTTACTATGGCGAAACGAAGACGAAGCTGTCAAGTGCTTGGAAAAGTCCTGGGACTCGGCTGTCGGTGAGATGGTCTTGCTCGGTGATGGGAAGAAAGGCCTGAGAAACTATCGTCTGCACTGCGCACAGTGTGCAGTACATATGCACTCTGCAGTCAGCACGAAGTCAATCCCGACACTCCTGTACTACAATACTGTAGCCAAGACAACAGTGCCTGAGGTTCGTTCCTGAAGCGGCGTGTCGGTGAGCAAGGGCTTAGCATTTCCTTACCCCACATCTCACGGTTCACTCATCCAGATGTGACCACGATTGGTTGTTGGCCTGGGCTCGTGGCTCTCTTAATTATTTTTCAAGGTCTGGCATGTGGCATCATGAAATGGCGTGCAAGAGGACCAACATGTCAACCTACCCACTCCAGGGATCGACTTGGCAGGATCAAGCCCGACGCATCAGCAGTGAGGGCACCGATTTAGAGCCATGAGAGCTTCAGGTCAAAGTGCATGTCTCAGCCTGTATTCTCACCACGTCCCAGGCGCGGAGAACATTGTCGCACTGCTCTCTGTTACGAGTGAATTCCAGTTCTACTTCTCCAGAAGGCATATTGGCACGCAATAACCGTCGACGCACCGATGGGCCTACCAACAGTGACTGCTCGCCTGCAGTCGTCCCTTCGAGCCACGAAGAGTTAATCTGGAAATGCGCGACTTGCCGGCCGTCGACTCATACAGTACTGATCACACCGACGGCGCACGTCAAGAACAGCAATATCATGTCGCTCTTGAGGGGCACCTAGAATCCCGTTTTGGACAACATACCCACGCCTACAGAGCTGGTGTCAATCGCGATACCTATCACCTACCTGTCTGCATTCATGCTTCCAACAATGACAACGCCACAACGGACATGGACTGAATATGCTTCGTTCTGCTTGGGATCAGGTCTGCGATATGGGTCATGACTCCTGCGTGCGCGGGGAGCTGGGCGCTTTCCGATGAAGAACGAATAATACCACCGACCGAATATGCCATCTCCAGCCCGACGACAATGGCGGCTTCAGAGCTACTGGAGGGTACCGGCCGCGGGATTCAGCAGACGCTGTCCATCCATCCAGCTCCGCATTGTCAGCGGCTACTCTTGATATGCACTTGTCGCGAGGTCCGATGGTCGTTCTGTCATTGCAAGATTGGCCGCCAGCTCGCTCATGGGAGGGGCGTGACACGACTGCCGGACTCCAGGAGGGGAAGTCGCTTTCGGAGCAGCTCGATAGAGCACTCTGTAGTACTTCAATATGTCGCTCGACCTCGGAACCAGAACCTCCGGGCCCCGTCTTGGTCTGCCTGCACCGGCTCGAACCCTGAAGGATGGACTCCGGCCTGCCAAGTTGTGCGCATCGCAGTTGACAGAGAAGCAGTTTCCTTCATTGCTAAATCCAATATCTTGCCATCTGAATCTCAAACGGCGTCGAAACCGAAGAGCGTATGACGTCTGGGCCCGACCGTGGCGAATGTATCAGATCTCATCTTTGGTAGCCCGGCCAGTCGACAACAATGGCTTGTGCGGGCGGATATGCATCGTGAACAAAGGTCAAGGAATACACTGGGCAAAGACCCCTATAACCATCACTCCAACCGAAATCCAGGGAAATTGTCGCCATGTCCGATGTACATTGGATACAAGAAGGTTTGGTATAACGACCAGCCTTTATCCCCAAACTTGTGGTCCCAATTACTGGTCGGATACTAAGAAGGCACGGACACTTGGGTGTTATCGACAGCATCGAGCGCCACCAGCGGCTTGTCCGATGGGCCCAGGTTTGGGGGAGCTCGATCGTGCAGCTTCACGTCCGCTGATTCGCAGTTTACATCAGCATAACTTCATCCACATCCGTGTGTTGGCTCGGGCACCGCTATACACTCCGGTTTGCAGCCATTTCACGTTCGAAGACACCGAGCCGTGGGGTCGAGCGCAACTCTAAGGCTCTCCAACAGGGCGTTCGACCCTGGTTGCAGAGTGCTAGCCGCCCAAGTTTCGTACTAGGTCTTCTCGACGCAGGTGGCAGAGAACATACGGTCTAGCAAGCGCATCATTTCCATTACGGTCTTGAGCATGAAAATTGCGATGCAGAATCAGGGCCGACTGCATCACCGCAGTCACATCTCGAGCGGCCACTCTCCGAACCCCAGGGGAAAGTCTGGCCGATTCCGGTAGCCGACTTATCCACGATATTGCTCTCTCTCGACGACAAACACACCGGAAACTCCACAAAAGTGATGATCGGCATCGTCGCTCCATTGGAGCCCCAGAATGACCAGGGACGCAAGACATCTATTTGCGGGGAATCCACGTTAGTGCTTTGGTGCAGCTACGCTTGCTTGCAACTACGAAACCAAACAGAATGGAGACTCGCGATAGACACGGCTCGAAACAGGCTATTTGGCAACTGCTAATAGGCATCTCCATCCCGATGGACGATCCAGGTGAACATTCGGGACAAAACGAATTGGTCTCTTCGACATATGAATTGTTGTGGCCACAAGTCTGAAGTCAATCCCGCACTCATCGCGTTCCTTCGACCATAGCAACAACCATGAGCAAAAGCGACATTGAGCATGTTGAGCTCCCAGCTCTCGACAAAAGTAATGTCGGTCTCTATGCGGAAGAACATGTCCAAGGCCTTGCGATTCCAAAAGTCACCTGGTGGAAGCACAAAGGCCTTCGGCGTCTTTATCTCATGATCCCGATCCTGTTTCTGTCCGCCACCACCAATGGCTATGACAGCAGTCTCCTCAACGGCCTACAGACTCTGCTGCCATGGCAGGACTGTATGTCCACAGGTCCCATGTCTCTTTCATTGCTCGCCCGACGCTAACAGGTTCAGATTACAATCACCCCAAAGGCTCTAGGATCGGACTATTCAACGCCAGCTACAATCTGGGCGGTCTGTCTGCGCTTCCTTTTTCGGCTTACATCTCAGACCTCTTCGGTCGCAGAGTAGGCGTGTCGTTGGGTATTGTCATTATCTTCGTCGGCACCATCATCATGGTCGTACCGGCAGCCAACCATGACGGCCGGTTCATCGGGGGTCGGTTCTTGGTTGGTCTGGGCGCCAATATCTCCCAAGGCAGCGCTCCCGTGCTGGTCACCGAGCTGATCTACCCTCAACACCGAGGCCGCATGACCACGCTGTATAATGTGATCTACGCGGTGGGTGCCATCGTGGCCGCCTGGACCGTCTTCGGAACCGTCAAATATGACTCCAATACCGGATGGATCATCCCGAACAGCCTCCAGGTGCTCATGCCCGGCATCCAACTGCTGCTCGTGTGGTTCCTGCCAGAATCGCCGCGCTGGCTCGTGTCCAAAGACCGCCACGACGAAGCCCTCGCGGTTCTGGTCAAATACCACGGCGCTGGAGACGTCAACGACCGGTTCGTGGCGTCGGAATTCTACGAGATCCAAGAGACGATCCGGCTGGAGAAGGAAAACTCGCGCAACGGCTGGCACATGTTCTTCAAGACGCCGGGCAACCGCAAGAGACTGGCCTTGATCGCACTGACGGCCTTCTTCTCGCAATGCTCCGGCAACGGCCTGATCAGCTACTACCTGCACAGCATCTTGAACACCATCGGCATCACCCGCTCGTACGACCAGAGCATCATCAACGGCGGCCTCTCCATCTGGTCATTCCTCATGGCCCTCAGCGCGGCGTTCCTCGTCGACCGAGTCGGGCGAAAGCCTCTCTTCCTCGCGGCCGGGGTGGGCATGCTGCTCGCCTTCTCCGTGTGGACCGGCTGCTCCGCCGTGTATGCTCAGACCCAGTCCGCCAGCGTCGGCAAGGCCGTGATCGGGATGATCTTCCTGTTTAATGGCGCTGCAGGGCTCGCATGGCCGGGCCTGACGGTCGCGTACCCGGTCGAGATCCTCCCTTTCAATCTCCGCGCCAAGGGGATTGCGTGCCTGTACGCGTGCAAGGCCCTCGCTTCCGTCTTCAACCAGTACGGTATGTGTGTGTGTGTGTGTGTTTTCTTACTTGTCTTATTCGGCGCAAAACCTACGTACTTTGCGCTCAGCGGCGACGGCTGACATTTTCCACCGGACAGTCAACCCTATCGGTCTCGAGCATCTGAACTGGAAGTTCTACTTCGTCTACATCGCCATTCTGGTCTGCGAGATCGCCATTATTTACTTCTATTTTGTGGAGACAAAGGGACCGACTCTCGAAGAGATAGCTCGGCTCTTCGACGGTGATGATGCGAATGTTTCGGGGAAGGAACTCATCGACCGGGGCGCCAAGGGCAACGTTGAGGTGGCCGTGACTACTGTTCGTGAGGAGAGCAAGTGAGAATAGATCTATGGTCCTGTGCAGCACCTCATAGACGATGCGGGGTGGAATGCCTAATGTATGGGCAAGAGAGAATGAGTGACTACTGGGTGGTGCTCTCGTCGCAAGAGACTAGCACCGCCATGAACGGGGAAGGAGAAGGGTTAGGGAGGAGCAGTCTATCAATGTAGCCGGGTGAATAGGTTACATTTCGATCTCTACATCACAAAATCTGAATATATCAAAGCTCATCCTCGTGGCATCCCGTCAACGCGTAAGGCTAGTATAGTAACCCGTCTGCTGTCTGTCGAACATGATAATGCTGAGCCCCAGGGTTCTAACGAGGTCAACGGTCCCGGTGACTCCCCGATCGGTACCCTGGCCATAGGGACTAGGGGGATGTACTTGGTACTGGGTACACAGGGCGAGGAGTCTCGGCTAAATTGTGGCCCCAGCGATAGTGCAGCTACTGTACTCAGTACAGGATCTCAGCCTCCAGACTTTCATCTTGATATCCCACCTCCACATCGTAAGAAGTCCGCGTGGAGAGGTCTCCGGTTGCGGGGGATTTCCTTGGAGCACTGACGCTTCAGAATGTCAGGCTGATGCCGTATCAGGTACGAGTACTCCGTACAGACGACATTGGTGCTTTGATCCCCCCTCCATTTAGGCTAATAGCATCCGCGCGCGAGGATTTGACGCATCAGCAGCATTGAGTGCGCCGTCGCCCGCAATGCCTGTTTCTGTGGCACAGTATGCCGTGTTTGATGACTCCGTGCAGTTCGTCCGTCCATCCATTCAATTCGGATCCTCGGATCACTGGCTGCCTGCGTGGATCCGCGAGGACTTATAGCTCGGTCGTCTGGGCTCGGGCCCCCTGAGACGATGCATTTGATGTGAGAACATCCCAAAAACCCCAGACTAAGGCTGCCACAGACAGAGGTGTGAAGAGAGAGAGAGCGCGCCTTTTTTTTTTTTTTAAATTTCTAGAGATAAAGTCATCCAGCGAAGCAACCATGCCGGGCAAGATCCAAGAATGGACCGACTACAAGTTGACGGAGGAGCAGAAGCAGCATTGGATGGACCATGGCTTTGTCAAGGTTGAGAACTGCTTCTCCCGCGAGTTTGCCGACCGGTGGACAAGCTCGATCTGGACGCGCCTGGGCGCCGATCCCAACGACAAGTCGACGTGGCCGACGGAGAAGCTCAACATGCCAGGCCACACGGTCATTTCGGTCAAGGATCACGCGCCAAAGGCGTACGCCGCCATGTGTGAGTTGGTCGGCGGCGAGGATCGCGTGGCAGATTGGTACGTACCTTCACTGTAACCTAGCGCGCCCCTTCCCAGTTGTTTCCCTGTGAGGTTGTGTTCAAGGGACATCATGCAGGAGTTCCAGCGCGTCCATCATTTGTCTTTCCCTCTGAGGTTGTGTTCAAGGAACATGATGCAGGGAGTGAGAAACCATCATGTTGACTTCCTTTCTCATTCTCCGGCGAACAGGTGCAAGAACTGGAAGGACGGCTGGATCCCGAACCTGGGGAAGCCCGAGTACAAGGCCACGGACGAGCTCGACTACCGCACGCTGGACAACTGGCACTGCGACGGTGACTGGTTCACGCATTACCTCGACTCGCCCGAGCAGGCCCTGCTGGTGATCCCGCTGTTCACCGAGATCAAGCCCAAAGGGGGCGGGACCGTCATCTGCACCGACGGAATCAAGCTGGTGGCTCAAAGATTGGTGAGTGAGGGTGCTGTTCCGCCGCCTCGCTATAGGGTACCCTGACACATGCCTCTCTCAATCCAGTACGACCTCCCACAAGGCGCGACACCGTACCTCGCCGAGCGCGGCTCGCCCGAGATCCCCAAGTCCAACCCGCAGCGCCGCGAGCTGTGGAATTCATGGGTGCGCGACCCGACCCTCTGCCGCGACGAGTCCTTCCACGAGGCCACGGGCCAGGTGGGGGACGTGTACTTCCTGCATCCCTTCATGCTGCACTCGGCGTCGAAAAACCTGCTGCGCCAAGTCCGCATCATCACCAACCCGCCCGTCGCGCTGAAGGAGCCCTTCAACTATAATCGCGCCGACGGCAACTATAGCCTCGTCGAGGCCAAGACCTTGAAGGATCTCGGCCGGCCCCAAGGCTTGCCGGACTGGAAGATCACAGGGCCGAGGGAATTGCTGTCCGCGGCGGGCGGACGGATTCAGGTATGTGCGACATCTCCTCTCCGCGGTGGTTCTTCCTGCGAAGCAAGCAAGCAAGCACAAACTGACTTAGGTGCGAACAGATGCAGGAAGAAATGAAGAAGAAGGAGCTGGAACGGCTCAAGGTTGCCGGCATCCCGATCCACACGTTGGGAGAACTGAGCGAGTACAAGCTCGATTATTACCCTTCGTAAGGCCTTCGAAGGGCCTCCTCGCGAGATCGACGTACGGAATGCAGAGTGCTTGCACTTGCGAGAAGATCAGGAGACCAAAGGACAAGAACAAGCCCATGGCCGTGATGGCGACGATCTCGACGACGAATGCGCCAGTTTAGTCGCTGACCTCGTTGGTGCCGTGGGTGCTCAGTGTGCACACGTAGGCACGACCATACCGTACCAGAGTGCCCTCGATAGGTGCTGACTAGATTCAAGCTTGAATGTGGCACATGAGACCGTAAATTCGTATTTTAGGCATCTCTTTCCGTACAGAGTCTACGGTGTCTATTCTAGATACCAAAAGAGTCAGAAGTGGAGAAATGACACAAGCTGAGAATCCAATTCAACCGATACAGGCCCCAGGTCTTGAACAGCTGGGCGCCTATGCCATCACCGGGATAGCCTCTCCGCCGCCCTGCTTTGCCTTCTTCACGTTCTTCCACTCCAACAAGCACGACGCAATGAACGCCACGCACGACACCGCAACGGACACCCGATAGCAATCCTTCAGTGCGTAGACGTACGCTTGGATGGCCTGGCGGAGCTCGCCCTCCATTCCGCTCTGCTCCAGCGCGCTGCGGATGGCCGTGGCGCCCGTGCGGAGGAGAAACTGCGGATCCAGGTCCGGCGCATATTTGGCGGCACCTTCGACTAGGCCGTTGGAGAAGACCGACTGTCCGACAGCAATGAAGAGCGCACCGCCCAGTGACTGGCAGAACATGAGCAGGACGGTGCCCTGTGGGATATCCGCCATGGGGAGGGCCGTCTGCACGGCCACCAGGGGAAGGTTGAAGCCGAAGCCGGCGCCGAGACCCGCCACGATTTGGTAGCCGAACCATTCGCCGAAAGGCGAGTCGACGGTCCAGGTGCTGATCAGGCCGTAGCCGACGGCCATGAGCGCGGATGCGCCCATGAGGATGGGAGTGTAGTAGCCGATTATCGTGACCATAATGCCGCCAATGATGGATGTCAGGACCGTGGAAAGCATGAGTGGCAAGATCTGGATGCCGGACTCGGTCGGCGAGGATCCCTTGACGCTCTGGAGGTAGAGCGGGAGGTAGTACATCAGGATGAAGATACCGGCGCCGAAGAAGAAGACAAAGGCACAGGCCGCCATCAGGGTGCGCTGCTTGAGGAGGCGCGGAGGAATCGTGGCCGCCTCGCCCAGTCGCCACTGGGAGATGGAGAAAAGGACGAGCATGAGACCCGCGCCAACAAAGAGGCCGATGATCCGGGAGTTGCTCCACGCGTAGGTTGAGCCGCCCCACTGCACGGCGAGCAGCAGCATGATGATCGCAGGGATGAGAATGCCAGCGCCAATGAGGTCGAGTTCCATCACTCGCTTGAGGAGGGGCTTCTCTGACAGCTTGGGGTCTTGAGGGATGTGGAGGACGAAGAGAACCACGACAACAGAGAAGGCGCCGATGGGGAGGCTGAAGAAAGACGGCTGTTAGTTTGCATGGTACGCTGCGTGGGAAGTAGTATGGGTATACTCACTTGATGTAGAAGCACCACCTCCACGAGAGTTTGTCCGTAAAGACACCTCCTGCGGCGGAATTAGCATCCAGGCATTGATCCGATCGAGCAGGACGTACCCAAGAGCGGACCGGCAACGCTGGCGAGTCCCCACATGGCACCGAAAACCCCAAAGACCAAGGGTCTGCGAATCAAAGGGACTGTGACATGGCAAGTCAGTTGCTGGGTCGATCCAAGACCGAGAGCTTGATGATGGTTTACCTGAATGGGCGATGATGACCAACGAGCCAGAAAAGATGCCGCCGACGCCAATGCCGGCGATAGCTCTTCCGACAATCAAGGCAGTGCTGGACGGCGCCACGGCGCAGATCAACGAGCCCAGTTCAAAAACGCCAATGGCGGAGAGAAAGACCCATTTGATCTGAAAGACCTTGTAGATGCGCCCGAAGCTCGGCTGAAGCGCCGTGGACGTAAGGAAATACGCGCTCCCATACCACCCGATGTCGTTCACACTGCGAAAGCGGTCGGTGATTTTGGGGATGGCCGTGGCGATGATGGTCTGGTCCAGAGCGACAAGAAAGACAGCCAAGCAAAGCGCAATGATGAGCGTGACCAGCTTGAGTCCATGGGGGTAGTTAGTATGGTCTTCCGTCTCGGTCCCGGCATCAGCTTGCACTTCCTCCTCCTTTCCCTTTTCTTGCTCAAGGACGTCGGTGGCGAATGTCTCACTCTTCTCGTTCAGAGCCTCGCTGGGCTTGTGGACGGTTGAGGCAGATGAGACCGAGGTAGAGTCGGCATTGTTATGATGCTGAGGTGGTGTCCCTGTCCCGTGTTCTGGCTCTCGCTCCACCGCTGTCACCGTGGGCAACGTCTGAGCCTCTGATACAGCCATCGTCCTGCTAAAGAGAATTATGCTTGCAGAAGTCCGGATCAGTAGTCAGTCAACTGGCGGAAATGATTAGAAAAGGGAGAAAGACTTCTGGGCCAATATAGGACTATATGATGGAAGCTGAGCCTCGTATCTGGGAGCTAATTCTGAATACGAAATGGAGTTAATGATTCACAATGCTGGGTCCGTGCTGGGTCCGCGACTGGCTGGACGGGTCATAATGCGAGATCTCGGGACAACTGAAATTCACGTCGACGCCCTTGACAAGCCAAAACGGACAAGCTGGTCGCTATGGTCCAATGATAAGGCAGTCGGACCAATTTCAAGGGGTTGTTGAATTTTCACTTAGATCGAGGACTCGGATCGAGTCGTCAAACTTGACCGAGTGGGTCACCAACATACCACGGGCGGCTCAATGGTGTCCCGACCGTCTTGGCGTCACGTGGGGCTGAGTGGCGGAAGACGCAGAAGCACCGACCGTAGGAAATACGGTGGGACATTGTGGCCCCTACGCACCGCTCTTCTACGAATCTACAAGGAGCGTCGATATCCATGCTTTCTCTCGTATAGGCGCATTTTTGACGGGTGAACCCATGCTTGGCCTCCAGCGAACGACAAGCTGCTCGCAGCTCATTCAGCGGTCATCTCCGACCGTGCCGCTTTCCAAACCATCGACTCACGACTCCCTCCCCTCCACCCTTCCTCCCACCTTCTACTCACCTACCTCCTCACCCGTCCAACTCGTCCTTGGCTAGGTGATCCTACTTTACTCTGTAGTGGGCTCTGCCAGGAGGGGATGTTGGGCACGAGGTAAGTAGCAGATCTGGCAGACGCAAGGGTCACTGGGTTCCTCGAAACTGGGTATGAAGAGTTGACATGAGTTGGCTACCAAGGAGTGTAACTATGCGGCCTGACAAGGAAAGATTATGTACGCTCGCGTTGAGCTGTGTCCTGCAGCACACTGCTGCCATTCCCTCTCCAGATCACTTCAGAGCACCAGCGCCAGCGCTTGTCACATGAGTTCTGCCTTCAGCCTCGCCCACAAGGCCTATTAGTCCCCGGCTCAGCACTCCTCCCTGCTCGCACCCCCCCAAGAGGTCGTGTGTGTGTGAGAGGTCGACTTGTACCTACCACCCATCTCCCTTTTCCCTTCAAATGGTGCAGGTCCACTTATTGAGGACGCTGATGGAACTGTCCGAGGTATGTGTGCACCCATTCATGTCGATGTCGGCTCCAGCCACATTCGCAATCGCTTGACCGCAGGCATTTCCATCGGCACTGCAATCGGAGATTTTGAACGCGATCAGGTTACCATCCGAGCAGGTGAGCGAGTGGTATTGACCGTCTGCTGGAAGATTGCCACTGTCGCCACCGATCGTTTCCTCTACATCCCCACAAAAGACACTGCCACCCGCTTGAGCGGTGCCGTCCTGTCGCCTGGCAAATCGGCCAGGTGGTGGTCCAATGGGTGTGGTGTTGGTGACCTCTTGCGTATAGCCAAAGGTGAGAGCTTGGGTGAGGCTGGCAGAAGCCAGAGTAGCAAGGACAGGAAGGATGAACTTCATTGTGACGTGTGTGTGTGTGTGTGTGTGTGTGTGTGTGTGTGTGTGTGTGTGTGTGTGTGTGTGTGTG